GCCTTTTCAGAACTTGATAGGGCAGTGGCCTCTTCTTCCGAAGTGTCTACTTTATCTACTACTTTCTTTAATATGACCAACAGCTCCGGCCATTTTGTCTCTRCAGYYGACATTGTTATGAAGAATGTTGGCAATCCAAACTGACGGATCATGGCWAAAACTTTTTTCTTTTCAGCCTCCCATTGTGCAGGTGAGGATCGAAGTCTTTTGAGGATATGATAGCCGTCATCATGCTGGATAAGGTTGCTGACAAAGTTTTCATCCCTCACATTTGCAGCAGTAATATTTCTTGATCCAGACTTTTTACGCAGGCAAATAGCAATAGCATTTTTGATGCGCTCCAACTTGTAGAACTTATAAATATACAGAAGCACGTCACACGCACGCAACGTCGATCGTAGCGTCGTGCTTGCAATATTTTTGCTGGTCGCACTGTCTCCGTCAAAAAATTTTGCTCATATTCCAAGCGACGTTTCAGGTGCACTTGAATAATATGGCTGTTGTCAAATCAAACAACAGAAATCGGGATATTTACTWCTGCTCCACGAATAGCACATTGTCGTTCATATCCTAAAGATATGATGCGCATAAATGGGATTCTCGGTGATATTAGCCTTTCCTCCAGACACGTTAAATCCTGAAGACATTCCGGAATGTCAGGAAACTCCAATCCTTCTAAGAGGCAGATATTTGGTATTTTCCCTTGTTTGACAATACGATAGCAGGTGCTGCAAAATTTATATTTTTGGTCAGAAGATGGAAACTTCGATGACAAATAAAAAACTTTTCTAGCATCTTCCGAGTGCATGAACTTTGCTGAGGTCTGACGTTTTTCTAGCCTTTTTTTTATCAACAATGCGTACATATCAAAGATATTGGCAGCTCGACGTTGACTTGCTTGTTCTTCTAGCAGTACATCGGGAGAAAGTTCACGACGATTTGCGGGATCCGACCTATAGAGTTGTACTCTTTGCAACATTGATTTCTGTTCGTTTGCAAGTTGTTCAACCGCCTGATTGAATGTCCTATTGTGTCGCGCTCCTGCTCTGCGGTTCTATATTCGGGATTCGTCCGTCTGGTGGAGTGTTCCGCAGTGTTGCGTCCCCGCTCCTCAACTCTATACTCCGGATTCAAACGCCTGATTGAATGTCCTATTGTGTCACGCTCCTGCTCTGCGGTTCTATATTCGGGATTCGTCCGTTTGGTGGAGTATTCCGCAGTGTTGCGTCCCTGCTCCTCAACTCTATACTCCAGATTCAAACGCCTGATTTAATGTCCTATTGTGTCGCGCTCCTGCTCTGTGGTTCTATATTCGGGATTCGTCCGTCTGGTGGAGTGTTCCGCAGTGTTGCGTCCCTGCTCCTCAACTCTATACTCTGGATTCAAACGCCTGATTGAATGTCCTATTGTGTCGCCCTCCTGCTCTGCGGTTCTATATTCGGGATTCGTCCGTCTGGGGGAGTGTTCCGCAGTGTTGCGTCCTTGCTCCTCAACTCTATACTCCGGATTCAAACGTCTGATTGAATGTCCTATTGTGACGCGCTCCTGCTCCGCGGTTCTATATTCGGGATTCGTCCGTCTGGTGGAGTGTTCTGCAGTGTTGTGTCCTTGTTCCTCAACTCTATACTCCGGATTCAAACGCCTGATTGAATGTCCTATTGTATCGCGCTCCTGCTCTGCGGTTCTATATTCGGGATTTGTTCGCCTAATTAAATGTTCCGTGGTGTTGCGTTYCTGCTCCTCAGCTCTGTATTCTGAATCCAGTCGTCGGTTTGAATGTCTCATTGCGTCGCGCTCCTGCTCCGAAGCTCTGTGAAGTACGTTTTGTCGTCTACTGGAACGTGCAGAACTGTCCCGAATTCTCTCTTCATTACGGAACTCTAAATTTGTACTACGTAATTGGGCAATATAGTCGGCGTTCCTCAGTCGATTTATTTCCAAATTTTTTCTTTATTGTTGTCGGCTTCGACTCAAAGCATTGTGACGTCTTTGCTTCTGCGACTGCCTAGATACTCTTGGCATTTTTATAAATTAATATAAAATAWTTGAACCAATAAAAAATATACAAAAAAATTAACAGTTAAGAATTGATAATAAATAATAAATAAATAAATAATAATATATTTCAAAAAAATAATGGTTATTTAAAAAAAATTGTTTTTTGATAAATTTGAAAGTTGCTTGGTTTTTCAAAGTTTAAGCTGCACGCGTAAACTGAAGTAATCCGATGTGTTTGCCCTCTGTTTATACAATTTTTTAGAACCGTATATGTAAAATCCTTCCAGTTTTTTACCTGTTTACACTTTACCTAACCTTCCAACTTTGTATATTATTAGTTAATTACGGTTGAATAATTATGCATACATTGTTAATTATTCATAATTATCTGTATTAATATTAATAAATAAAGATAATGATAATAATAACATATCTGGAAAAATTAGGGATTTGATTTTTGCATGACATATTTTTGCTACCTATCTTATGTGGCAAAAAAAATCTTCCATACAAAAAATTATTTTAATCGTTAAGTATTTCTCTGGATACTGTATCCATAACGTAGACATTATTCCATGGGAAATTTCATCTAGCTATTTTAGAGAAAATATTAAGGCGTTACTTACAAAAGAGGCATTGTGGAGATTTTTTATACCTCAGTTACACTTTCTACCTAGCCATCGAACTATGTTATTACCAAGGTTTTGTTTTGTACCCACCTTTACCTTTAATTAGGGTTTTAAAACAGGATAATTATGTATAAAAAAATAGTGCTCAATTATTATTAATATATAATAAAATATGTGTCTGGAAAAGTTAGGGATTTAATTATTTTAAGGCAAATCAAAAAAAACTTTTTTGCTCCTTATTCTTATGTTACATATTCTTAACATAATTTAGATTTATTTAGAACATATTATTTGTATTGTGGTTAATTCTGATTACAATATAAAAATAATGTAGAATAATAATTAGCGCCGTTACACATGCTATTTAATAAAAAAAAGTAGTTAATAATTTTGTGATGATATTTAGCCAAAGTTGCCCATATATGAACTTAGTTTTGATGGGTCGGTTTGTATGGCAGTCCGACCTTAACAATTCTTTAGAAGATTAGAGCGAATCCTGGGCAATAATCAATGCTAAATTTCAAGAAATATTTCTTTTCACATAAGAACTTAATTTTGATTTTCAATTTGTATGGCAGGTTTTGTTATCCGATCTGYAAAATTTCTTCAACTATTGTAGCGTTGCCTTAGAGAATAAACACCTCAAATTTGCAGAATATATCTCGTTAACTGAAAAAGTCTCCAATGCAAACATTTTACTCCGACCGTTCAGTTTKTATGGAAGCTATATGTTATAGTTAACCGATCTGAACAATTTTTTCAGAGATTACATTGTTGTCTTAGAAAATAATCTATACCAAATTTTGTCAAGATACCACGTCAAATGTGAAAGTCTTCCATACAGGTCATTTGTTTCGATCGCTCGGTTTGTATAGCAGCTATATGCTATAGTAAGCCGATCTGAATAATTTCTTCCGATATTACATTATTTTTATGAAAAATAACTCTTACCAAATTTCGTGAAGATATATCGTCAAATGAGGAAGTTTCTCATGCAAGCATTTGATTCCGATCATTCTGTTTGTATGGCAGCTATATGTTATAGTTAACCGATCTGAACAATTTTTTACATTATTGTCTAAGAAAATAATCTATACCAAATTTCGCGAATATATCTTATTAAATGCAAAAGTTTTCCATACCAGCACTAGATTACCGACGTTCAATTTGTATGACAGCTATATGTTATAGTTAACCGATCTGAACAATTTCTTCGGAGATTATATTGTTGGCATAGAAAATAACTTGTGCCAACTTTAGTGAAGATACATTGTCAAATGTGAAAGTTTTCCATACAAGAACTTGATTCCGATCGTTCAGTTTATATGGCAGCTATATGTTATAGTGGTCCGATATCGGCAGTTCCGACAAATAAGTAGCTTCTTGAAGAGAAAATGGTGCTTGCAAAATTTCAAAACGATATCTTAAAAACTGAGGGACTAGTTCGTATATATACAGACAGACGGACACACAGACAGACGGACATGACTAAATCGAATCAGCTCAACATACTGATCATTTATATATATACTTTATAGGGTCTCCGACGCTTTCTTCTGGGTGTTACAAACTTCGTGACAAAATTAATATACCCTGTTCAGGGTATAAAAAACAAAGAAATAGATAAAGAAAATTTCACTTTCACAAAATCACTTTAATACTTATATAAGCAGAACATAATTTGAAAGAGATACAGAACAAAATATAATGTCACAGAAGTAACATCGTTGGCATTTTTTATTTATTCCTCCGCTCGAACAACTAAAACTCGCACTGCTGCAATCCGTTTCGATCACTCTGTCGCACAGAAAACTGAGAATGAAGTGTTTGAAGTTCGATTCAACCCCAAGACCGTCAAGAGCAGTTACTACTGCTTCAGGCAGGATATTGTTGAAAGCTCCCTCGATATCAAGGCAGGTCCCAACAGCGAAGTCCTTGGCTACAATGGCTTCCTCGAGCCATGACACGATAGTATGCAAGGCAGTTGTGCTCCTGACAGATAATCTCTTGGAATGCGCCTCCTTATATACCCGTCCATCAGTCTCTCCATAGTCTTTAGCAGGAAGGAGGAGAGGCTGATTGGCCTGAAATCCTTGGCCATGACATGGGAGCCCCTGCCAGCCGTCGGGATGAACGCAACCTTGACTTCTCTCCAGGCCCCCGGTGTTTAAATGAGTTAAGCATCTACCCACTCTACACGGGAAAACTGGCGCACCCTAATACAACAGCGCAATTCACCAGAACTAATGACACCACTCAACACAACTCACCATACATCTACATTATTCAACCCACTCCGCAAAAAGGATGGGAAAAAAGGAAAGCGGAGCTCTTTTGGTTCACACACTGCGACGCGTCGACACCTTTCGCCACCACATTTCGTCACACACTATCGGCATAGCAACATATCCTACACTGCGCCGCGTCAACATATGTACGTTCCGATTGTTCACCGATCCTGAGTGCTACGTTAATTCGAGTCATCAGAGCTACGTGAAGTCATTGATCCATCAGTAACCACCGGACCACTTTTGCAAAAAAACACCATGACACGGTTCTGAAACCGTACACCGTCCCCTCGACTTTCTATTGCTAATCTAGTGCATATATTTATATTATACGTTTCATATTCGTTACCTGCTAAATTAAAAAGAATTTAAACATAAATAGCATTTGTAGTCTTTTATTAACAAACGGGTAGTGAGCGAATAATTTTGCATCAACTACATTAAACACCCGGGATGTAACCTAATCTGATGCAGTTCGTATAGATAGGTGCCAACCAGCTGCATGACACCTTAACAGCCTGTTGCAACTGCGCTGGTGTGATGCCGTCTTGGCCCGGGGACTTGAATGGTTTGAACGAGTTAATCGAACACATCAGATGTCGCTCATCCAGAATGCCTACAACGGCCGCACAATCGTCATGCGGCACCCCCAGAGATCCCCTCACAGAGGGCATGTTGCTCGGGAAGTGAGCGTCGATAAGTATCTGAAGTGTTTCTTCACTGCTGAGGGCCCACTTCCCATTAGCGTCCTTGAGATACCCCAGGGACACTGAAGTTTTTGGGAGAATACGCTTGAATCTGGAGAACCGGACAGCCTTCCACTCTTCCGCAGAAGCTCCTCCACGAGGTCCTCTTAGCCTTTCTTAACTCGGACTTGTATACTGAAAGTCCTGCTTTATATAACGCCCAGTCACCCGACGACCCACTTTTGCGGGTTCTGTTGAATAAACGTCTACATAACCCCTGATGTCTGAGAGCTCCGTAGTCCACCATAGAGGTTTCGCTGTGCCTTTCGGTGATTTCAATGGACAGGACCCCTCCAGCGCAGCATTGCACGCCGAGCTGAAAACTTCAACCCACTCCTCCACCGCATCGGTGGTGGCAAACAGGTCCACCCTCGGTGTGCGTGGGAGAGTTTGCCGAAGTCTCCTTCGGTAACCTTCCCAATCCGTGTTCCTAGGGTTTCTGAATGACTTCCTAGGCGGGCCTTCACCGACTAAACTAAACTCGATGAACCTATGATCTTAAAAGGAGTGATCGTCGAGAACCCTCCAGTTCGAGATCAGCGGGGCAATCCCTTGTGAGGTTATTGTGAGGTCAAGAACCTCCTCCCTAACTGCGATCAGGTAGGAGAGTTTTCTCTGTTACAAATGCGAAGATCTAATAATGAAATCAAAAAACGACTCACCTCTATTATTAGTATCCGAACTACCCCAGATTTGGTGTCGCGAGTTAGCTTCGGAACCGATGATGACGCCAGTTCCAGTCTTAACCGCTTCGGTTAAGGCCCTCCTCAGCAGTAAGTGTGGCATGTACGCGAAGATAAGCAAGAAATCTCCGGCGTCACACTCCAGCTTCGCTATCACTACGTCAGCGTTGCTGAAATTAGGTAAAAGAAGTACTGTTAGTTCATTCCTTACCAGCATACACGCTCTGTTCCGTCATAGGGCTCTATGGCTCTTTGTCCTCAAATTTCATCCTTCAGACTTTCCTTCAGAAGCGCTAGTTCAGCGCTGGCCGATACGGTCTTCTCTAGCCTTAACACTTTACAGTCCTGCGTTGGAAGTGAGGGATTGCAATATTTGGGGATTTCCTCAATCTCACTCGCAGAGGAAGGTTCGGCCGGCAGCCAAAAGCAAGCCCTAAGACG